CCCCCCCCCCCATCAGATCTCCACAATGGCGTGCCCGCTAGGAAGTCCGGCTGTGACTTGGTGTAGAAACGACGGTGAGTGCTCGTGCCAGGCTCGCCTGTCTGGGCGCTGCTATTTTTATGTGGCGGGCTGGCATGCCCCCAGTCTGCTTGGACGACTTTGCGTACTACGGTACTATGCGGCTCGCGCCCCTGCATCCTCGGCGACATTGGCCACAGGCATGCGCGCGTGTCGGGACAGTGACGTCTGTGTCTCCGCATGCATTGCGCCCGCCTTCAGCTGCACGGCCGCCAGACGCACAACGCCACCGATGCCCATCGCGCATATGTTTCCGACGTCGCCGCCCCCTGTTCCCGAACACCACGAGCATCGGCTGGCCTCTCCCGACCATCGCGCGCCCGTCTGTACACTCTGTCAATTCCGGCGGTCGCCGTGCCGTAACTCTACCTCGTATGGCACAATGCATCCGCGCACTGCAGCCCAGCGTCCACGGGGCATCCTGGCCCTGCCGCTCCCTGTGGACGCGAGCCCGTCACGACGACGACACCGCGGGTGCATCTCTCCCGACGCACCGCACGCCCTCGGGCCTGGTCTGCGTGGGCGCCCGCTGCGCAGCGTGCTGCTCTGTTTTAATTATTTTTTGTGCTGGCCGTGGCCGACAAGACCGCTGCGGAGGTGCGCTGGTCCTAGCTCCCGTCCGTGGTTTGGCTCCTAGGTCGGAGACTGACTCAAGCATCCCCGAGGACATGGTCTGCGCCCGCTGGGCACCGAACGAGCGCAGTGGCAAGCAGGCATTGAATATGACTATTCTGCGACGGGCGAGGACGCGTCCGTGGCTCCCCTGCAGCAGTGCCCGAGCGCGTCTCTGCCGCTAGGTGTTATAGGGGATGGAATAGCGGGGCGCGTCCTTGTGCTGCTGCCATGGCCCGTGCATGCATCGCTGTTCCATCCAGGGTAGGTGTGCGCGATAAAAGGCACCTGTGCGGACAACTGACTTTCTAGCTTCAACTCGGTGCGTGGCGTGGTTGTCACCCATGATGCAGCCCGCTACGCTGCTCTAGACACTGACGGCAGCGGCTGCAGTGTCGCCCATAGGCGCAGGATGCATCGAATGCAGGTGGCACGCTTTCGACCCTTCTTTCGTTTCGCTTTTGCCTGCTATTCCATGTTGCAAAATTACAACGAATGCTATCCTCGACGTCACCTGTTAGCTCAACCCTGACCGGTTGACCACTGCTCGGATCCGGAAGTGCGCGGATGAATTTACAGCGACATCTGTGTCGATGACGTGGCTCCCTCAGCTTCATATTCAATGGGCTTGTGATCGGACGTTGGAGTATAGAATCCGATAGAAGGCAAAAGGATTCGTCGCTTGGGTACATAAAGGAGCCGCGGGGGGCGTCGTCGGTCGTAGAACGGGGTCTTTCCGTCTCCTCTCGTCTGCTAAAACTCACAGGCCGTCCGCAACCTAGCACGCGAGTTATCGCTCACGACGTCGTTAAATATATATTTGAATAAGTTGAGCACAATACCATCGAGTCTCTGTTCCGCGGCTGCAGCCTGAGTACACCTCTCGACGGGGTGGTTAGTTATGTGATATACGCCAGCGCGCTCCTCTCTCGGAGCGGTGTGTCTTAAGTACCGCGTCCGTTGCAGCGACTCCGTCGCATGGACGTCGCCGTCACACGGGGTGCAGCTGCAGATCCGGGGCGAGTGCTGGCAAAGCACCGCGGGCGATGCAGCGATCCGGCGAGGGCGGCGATGACGAGGCGCAGTGCGGCCCCCTGCTTGGGCAGGGGGTGGCCGACAGAGCGGTATGTGGCCGGGAGTGGTGGTCCATCAGACGCACTGTTTGGAGGGAGCGAGGCCGGGTGCAAGCCGTGCAAGGGGCCGGGAAGGACTCGGAGGCGCTGGAGCGAGCAAGCGAGGAGAGATACCGATCCCGCCCAGGTCTAGAGCAGATGGGTCCCGCCACCAATCGCGGCGAGGCGGGTGAACGGGGGAGGCTACTTACTTATCGTGCGCAGTGCGTGGCTGCAGAACGAGGGCGAGAGCTAGTGCGAGTTGTGAGCAGACGGCCCCGCGGGGGACAGCAGACTCTCAGAGGAGAATATTCACTGGCCAGTGGCAACGACACTCTCCGCCCGCGCGCTCATGCAGAACTTGAAGAATCTCCGAGGAGGTGATCGAAGGCGGGCGCTGTGGGTGGTCGTGTACGCGCAGATTGATGCGAGACGAGTCCGCCGTTGCCGCCGCCGTCGTCGCCGCTGCGGCCGCTGTTGTGTTGCGTGCGCCGCCGCCGAGTGAGACATCCGGGGCGAGGGCGAGGACGGTGCCAAAAGCCGTTAGTGTGCTGCCTCACATGGCTGCGATGTGATTCGGCACGATATCCAGGCGTCTCTGCGCCGCGGTCTGACACTGGCGCGCATCCCGTTTTGGTCACGCCTCGCTTGCTCGCCCTCTTCTTCTCCTCCCCTCCCTCCCTCCCCCCTCCTTCTCTCCGCCCCGTC